ATCTGGATTTACTCAACTTACTCCCTCCTTCCCTACTCTCCCAACCCATCCCCACTTTATAGCAAACAGTCAGGTACAAGCCCCATGGCTGTTATGACTCAGGAAGTTCATACAAGAGAACAGCTTCCAGTTCTTCACTACATGCTAGCGACTGGCTCCCTACCAGGCAATAGCTATGCACCAATCATTGACTAACGACAAAAGAATATAGCTTGTATTCCATCGATAGCAAGGAGCACTGGCAGGTTTCATTGCTTTCCTATGAAAACAAGGGCTTGCTGGTTGCCCACTTTATTTGGGGAAATCAGAGTCAGATGGAAAGAATGAATTGCACAGGACAGTTTATTTATTTATTGGAGGTCACATCTAAAAATGACCCGATAAATGCTCTTATAAACAAAACACAAAGCCACACTTCTCACTCGAAGTAACGGGTGGTGGTAGCAGCAGCTGGTCAGCCCCATGCAAGCCTCTGGGGAGAAAGCCCTGCTTTAGGATGGATTTGGGAAGGCTTAATGTTTTCAGAATGACCTATGAGTCAACACATATATTCATTGGATGAAAGGGTTTGCTGGCTGGGATCCAAGGAGCTCTCTGATTGGTTCCAAGTACGGCACGTCCAGCAAGGCTCTCACTTCGGGGTGGCTCCTGAATAGCAAATAGCTTTGGGAACCCCTGGGGACTGGCAAAAGTAGCCTGTGATATGACATGACAGCAGTTGTGGACGGGGAGGCCCAGAGGAAAGTAGCTAGAAATGCCACAGAGCAGATTCGACCTTTTGAGCACACCTGAAATGACACTTTGGATCAATGCCATCATAAACGCAGTCATGAAATGCGCATTTGATCTGGAATATTGACCAAAGTAACCCAAGCCAATGCGGTCCGTTGGGCCTGATCCCCTAATTAGCTGAGGATACTTGAAGCATTCCAGTCAGGGATGGTAGGTAGTGGGAGTGAAACAGACACCAAGCCAAGCCTTGCCAAACGCTCAGGAATGTCTAGCATACAACGTCCGCAATTTGTCTCAAATAATGGACACAGTACTAATGATTAAAACTTAACTTCCTGTTCCACATCTACTGAGGCACAATCATAGCAATATTTATACACAGCAGTCATCGTCAACGCCAATAGCCAATTAATAAATAATCTGATTTCAAAGCAACTCACATTTGGAACTTCTAAATGGGGCTTAATTTTTCACTTTTAGCCTCCTTTTTTTGCTATTAGCATAGTAGCTGCTTTCAGATCCAGGCCCAATAGACCTAAAGGAGCGTCTCCACTCCATCGTTCTGCCCGGACACTGAGGTCCAGCTCCGAGGGCCTTCTGGTGGTTCCCTCCCTGTGAGTAGTGGCGCCCGCCCTGTGGAACGCCCTCCCATCAGATGTCAAGGAAATAAACCACTATCTGACTTTTAGAAGACATCTGAAAGCAGCCCTGTTTCGGGAAGTTTTTAATGTTTGATGTTTCATTAAATTTTTTATATTCTGTTGGGAGCTGCCCAGGGTAGCTGGGGAAACCCAGCCAGATGGGTGGGGTATAAATAAATTATTATTATTATTATTATTATTATTATTATTATTATTATTATTATTATTATTACATGACTTGCTGTGTCAGGAACATGACTAATTGATCAAGCTACCCTTCCGTGCAGCCACAAGGAAGAGTTTGGAAGCTTTTGCTTTCATTTTTGTTTGACTGCATTTTTGTAACATTTTCATAAATTTGGCCATGCCCACTAAATTGAAAGTAACCTTAAGTACAACTTGTTTTTTAAAAAGCCAGTTTTCAAACCATGGATTTCCTCTCTCCATTTCCTAGTCTATCTGTCTTGTCTCACTTCAGGTTTTAAGTAGGCATCTTGTTGATTTTTCAGTGTTCTACAAGGGCTGGTACACAGTTTAGGTTCTTTAAGAAATATCAGATGACAATGATCATCTGGGCATTAATTTTTTTAAAAAAAAATCTTTAAAAAAAATAAAAGTAAAAATCCTTCTTTGGACCACATAAAATCCCATGTAACAATGGTCAAACCAAAAGCACTCCTTACACATACTACAGATTTTAGCCTGACAAAAATTCTAACAGCTTTTTATAGAGAAACGATAAGAATATGTTAAGGAACAAAGTCTCCATCTTTTGCCTGCGTTCCTGAGACTGGAACACTGGCAATAGAAGCTTCTGTCCTCTGCTATTTAGGACTCTAAATTCTTCTGCTTTGGGTATTCTCAAAAGCTTTGCAACTGCTTTTTTCTCTGTGGGTGGGAAGGTGGGGGGGTTAACATATGTTTCTATATTGTTACTGTTTCATCACGAAACTATATAGTTGTACCTCGGCTCTCAAACGCCTTGGCTCCTGAACAAATTGGCTCCCGAATGATCGAAACCTGGAAGTGAATCTTCCGGTTTTTGAATGATTTTCGGAAGCCGGATGTCTGACGGGGCTTCGGCGGCTTCCGATTGGCTACAGGAGCATCCTTCAGCCAATCAGAAGCCACGTTTTGGTTCCCAAACATTTTGGAAGTCAAACGGACTTCCGGAACGGATTCCTTTCGACTTCCAAGGTACACCTGCATTGGGGGGAAATATAATTGGAATTCCAAAATATAATTTGGAATGTAATTCCCAAAATACGACATTGTTCTTTGTATTTCTCCATGTGTACCCTACCCTTTCCTGCAGGATGTGGTGAAATTGTGGGGGGCAGGATGATGTTTTGCTCACTTGTGTTACCTGCAAACAGGTTTTGGAGCAGCTCCGATCCTGGAGGGATTGCACTCCTGGAAGATGTAATGACACAGCAGGGACTCAGCGGCTGGGCGGCAAAAGGGACTCACTGTTTTCAACTCAGCCCATGCTGTGCGGACAAGCAGTTCTTGGGTCTCCTCTGGGTCTCCATAGGAGGCGTTGAAGAAAACGAAGGCATCCTTGGCCAACAGAGAGCTACACACCTCTCCACGGTATGTGCTGCAGTAGCCTGTATCACCCTTGTAGAGTCTGATGGGGAAGAGAAAAACAGGCACATGGGGATTTCTGAGTGTTGACAAATTGAGCAGGCAAATCTGCAGACTATACCATCAGCACTTGAAGTGTTTAAAGCTAAACCCCTAGAACAGTTATTATATGGGGCTCAGATCTGGACAGGCATTCCCCTTGGATCTACAGAAGCTGTTTAATAATAAATAATAATATTGTTTTATATTATACCCCACCCTTCCCAGTTCAGAAAACCGGGCCAGGGCGGCTAACAACAACTTTAAAACACTTAATTGATGCAACAACAACAAAATACAGTATAAAACGTGAATAACAATAAATTCAGAATTCAAAAATCAATTAGGGTGGAAATCCATCCAATAAACATTAGATGATCACCAGGGCTAGCTGGCTAAATTAGTCCTATTTGGGCCAGCGAGGAGACCAGGGGAGAATTAGCTGTGGGATCCCAGAGCGGGTAGTCTTCATAAAAAGGGGAGGGGAGGGAAGGAAGGGGGGGAGATCAGGCTAAGTCCAAATTGAAAGCTAGGCAGAATATCTCTGTCTTAAAGGCCCTGAGAAAGGAAATTAAATCCTGCAGGGCCCTGGCCTCATGGGTTTAGTCTAAGTTCCTAAGGCAATTTTTTCATGCTCCATCCAAATGCTTCTGTTCCATTCCAAATGCTTCCTTGCACTTGGGGACTAATCTCCCCTCTGTTGAATTACAGACTTGGCGTAGGACATTTAATTATTGGCTTCGCCTAAATTTAAACCCCACTGGCCTACCACCCTTAGTATTGCAAGATTGTCATGAGAGCACTTGGACTAAAATTGTCAGCCGAAAGCTTTACTTTTCTGGTTTATCACCACAACAGTTATTAACACTGGGCTTCCGTAAAGCAAATAATTTAACCAGACAGAGCCTATGTCCATGATATTGAGTGACAGAATAATCTGGCCACAATAAGGAAATTTTGTCCATGGTATGATTATTTTCCACCTAGTCCTTTTGACACTTTGGCACCCTATTTGCAAAATTTAACAGTTCCAAAATACAGACGTGTTTTCACTTTCACAAGATTGAATATACTGAATATATTGAATTTTTCAAAAAATTGCACTGGAAAAACGGTTATGCCCCTGTGGAGCTGGCAGTACTGAGTCTGTGGCTAATGTCCTTCTGGCTTGCAGTCTTTATAAAGATTTGAGGAGTGAGGCTATTACACCTCTACTGTGGTCCACTGTTACGGTGTCCTTTCTCTTGGCAGATCAAGATGATCAGGTGACAGCAAAAACTGCAAAGTTTTTAGCAGGGGCAATTAGAATAAGATCTATTATTTGATTATTGATGTAAACCCCCAAAATGTATTTGCTATAGTTACGTTTTTACCTCTATCTTCGGTACATTTTATTTTATTTTATTGCTGATGGTGAAGCCAGCAAGGACAGTGACTTTGGGAGTGGGCAGGGCCAGTACAGGTAAGCCCCTTCCACTCTCTGCATGTTACTTGTATGTGTGAAGGCTAATGGGAGAGGCTGTTTCTAAGGCAAAGAGGAAGAGAAAAGGCATTCTGAAGCCTAACTGGTTATAGAGCAAGGGAGTGTTGAAGATGGAAATTCAAAGATGGGTCTCTTCATTGCCTCGCCAACTCAACATGAAAGAAAAGCCAGAAGGATCATACCTAACTAGAAGCATGATTGCTGTTCGTTCTGTCTTGATCCCCGTCATTCTGCCCAGACACTGAGGTCCAGCGCCGAGGGCCTTCTGGCGGTTCCCTCACTGCGAGAAGCCAAATTACAGGGAACCAGGCCTTCCCGGTAGTGGCGCCCGCCCTGTGGAACGCCCTCCCACCAGATGTCAAAGAGAAAAACAACTACAGTGGTACCTTGGGTTACAGACGCTTCAGGTTACAGACTCTGTTAACCCAGAAACCTCGGGTTAAGAACTTTGCTTCAGGATGAGAGCAGAAATCGTGCTCTGGCGGCGTGGCGGCAGTGGGAGGCCCCATTATCTAAAGTGCTGCTTCAGGTTAAGAACAGTTTCAGGTTAAGAACGGACCTCCGGAATGAATTAAGTTGTTAACCCGAGGTACCACTGTACACTTTTAGAAGAGATTTGAAGGCAGCCCAGTTTAGCAAAGCTTTTAATGTTTGATGCATTACTGTATTTTAATATTTGTTGGATGCCGCCCAGAGTGGCTGGGGAAGCCCAGCCAGATGGGCGGGGTATAAATATATTATTATTATTATTATTATTATTATTATTATTATTATCATCATCATCATCATCATCATCATCATCATCATCATCATCATTACACAAGAGTCACAGAGTTCAGTTTATATCAGTCCGAAATATTAGGAAATGCCAAACGAGCTATCTGCACCTCTGTTAAAAATTTTCCTTCCCTCGGCTGACATCTATCACCAACTTACTTGCTTGAAGCATGTGAGCTGCCTGCCATTGACAAGATGACTCAAGGTTTCCCCAACACTCAATATGTGTAAATATGCTTTCCAGCTGTAGGGACACTGATTTCTCTCTCTCCCTCTCTCTCTTTCAGCATTCCAATACAAGGTTGCAACTTTCTCCCTTGACTCCATTTCTTTTGGGATACGATCAGGGTTGGATTAAAAAATTTTGCTCGTGTTTGCAGAAAAGGAAGTGATTCATCACGACAGTAACCTGATAGCAGTGCAATGTCCCCATGGACATAGCAGACGAGCCAAGATTAATGTTTCTCCTGTGTGTAGCTCAGTCCCTTTTCATGAATGATACATGCACACAAATGCAGCGCTTGCATTCATTGAATTAATTTTACTGGCGTTTCTGCCTGGTTTTGAACATCCCTTTTACACTGTAGTACCTTGTTCTGTAATAGAAGTGTGGCTTAATAATAATATAAAAAATCATTGTAACAATATGTCGCCTAAATTTTAAATGCCAACAAGAATGGTGTGCTGGTAAAACGACATGGATCTATCAACTTTGAATCTTTTCAGAATAAGATCTTTACAACTATCATAAGTATTCGTAACAGCAAGTCTTGAGTTTTATTTAAGGCCTCAAGTCGGCATATTTGAGGCAGAACAAAGTGTGTACTTAATAGTTTTTTCAACTTGTTGGTTTATGTAACTGAAAATTCCTGAAGACATGCTCTCAAATGTTTGTTTAATGGAACAGATCCAATCAAGTTCAGTTAAACAAATGACATGCTTTCGGAAGATTAGAAAGAGGATTCATCCTCAAGGCTTTTCCATGAATAATTTGCTTTTGTTCTATCAGTTTTAGGGCAGCAATTACAAAACTGGATTTTTTATAAAAAGGTAAGAGATGCATAATTAGTTTATTTTGCATCTTGGGGACGCGGGTGGCGCTGTGGGTTAAAGCCTCAGCGCCTAGGACTTGCCGATCGAAAGGTTGGCGGTTCGAATCCCCCGCGGTGGGGTGCGCTCCTGTCGCTCGGTCTCAGCGCCTGCCAACCTAGCAGTTCGAAAGCACCCCCGGTGCAAGTAGATAAATAGGGACCGCTTACTAGCGGGAAGGTAAACGGCGTTTCCGTGTGCTGCGCTGGCTTGCCAGATGCAGCTTGTCACGCTGGCCACGTGACCCGGAAGTGTCTGCGGACAGCGCTGGCCCCCGGCCTCTTAAGTGAGATGGGCGCACAACCCTAGAGTCTGTCAAGACTGGCCCGTATGGGCAGGGGTACCTTTACCTTTACCTTAAGGTTGCATCTTAGTCTTTTCTGACATTATCAACCTGAGACTGAAAAATGTGTTTCCCTTTTTTTAGATCCAGTCAAATTCTTCACACAGTCGTTGCTAGGAGATCCCATACAATCTGAAAAGAGGCACACAATCCACAACTTTTGCCCTGGTTGTGACTGAAATGTGCTTAGATATTGTCAAGATCCATATGGTTTGATTAATCTGGTGCCATTTCATTTTGGGTCTCTGTATCAAGAGTAGGTCTTGCAATGCTGGTGTTTTCGTTTTTATTTTGGTCGGATTCTGTATTTGTTTTACTTTGATTCTTACCTCTGCTTTTATCCAGAGCTCTGCAATAGCTTACGGCTAAAAACAAATACATTTGACGCTGGCTTGACTTGTATTCTCCAACAACAGCAATGGGCTGCTATAACAATTGAAGCATATTAGCTCGAAACCAAAGGGAACCTAATCCCTGCCATCCTTCCAAACGCTGTTGGTTTAAGAGGCTTAGAAGGAGTTTGCAAAGATAAACTGCAATGAGAGAATACCAATCAGTAACTTACAGCCTCGTGCATTGTAACACTTTGCAAGCTTCTCATTTCCTCCCTTTGCCAAGCGGTGATGGGAATTTCACCTTTCCACTGCTCCCTAGAATTCGTCACACCCTAAAACCCTTCACTCCACAGTCTGCTGTTAGCAAGAGTGGGGTCAGCGGCGGAGAAATCCTCTCTGGCACCTGTGGTGGTGCACCCAGGGCCAGGGCAAACCACCTATAGGGGTGAGGTGGGGCGCACAGCACCCATAGGGATGGGGTACGCGGTGCCCTTAGGGAGGGGCGGTGTGGGGCGCATGAAACCCACAGGGATAGGGTGCGTGGTGCCCATAGGGACGGGGCACGCCACAGGGCCTCAGACGCCCTACAGCAGGTGGGGAGGCAGCAGACAGACAGAGTGGAGCCTGCGGGTACCCAAGACGCTTGGCTCGGGTCCGCTGCACAGGCCCAGCGGTTTGTGCCACCCGCCATTTTGTCACCCCCCTCAGTGGGGACACCTGGAGCAGGCCCATAGCTGTCAACGTATCGCTTTTTTTAAAGGGGAAATTTCCTTATTCCGAATAGGATTCCTCGCAAGTAAAGGGAAAAGTTGACAGCTATGGGCAGGCCGCACCTACTGCATCCCCCTTGCTATGCCCCTGAGTGGGGTAACTCACAATGGGGTGGTTTCACATCAGGCATTTCAGATGGGAGATGAGAAGGCGATTGTGGCTGTTGCTTTGAATAGCAGCCACACATTGGGCAGAAACATCTAATGGGTAGAGCACCCCTAGCACCTCCAAGGAGGGGAAGCTGTCTGAAATCACGGTGAGCCTGTCAATGGAGCCATTGATGTGGCAGGGGTCAGCAAACATTTTCAGCAGGGGGCCGGTCCACTATCCCTCAGACCTTGTTGGGGCCGGACTATATTTTGGGGGGGGAATGAATGAATTCCTATGCCCCACAAATAACCCAGAGATGCATTTTAAATAAAAGGGCACATTCTACTCATGTAAAAACACGCTGATTCCCGGACCGTCTGCAGGCCGGATTTAGAAGGTGATTTAGAAGGCGATTGGGCCGGATCCGGCCCCCAGGCCTTAGTTTGCCTACCCATGTGCTAGAGCAGGGGTCTGCAACCTTTAAGACAAAAAGAGCCACTTGGACCCGTTTCCGAAGGAAAAACAACTGGGAGCCGCAAAACCATTGTGACATTTAAAACAAATATATCTCCGGAGCCGTGATCTGACAGCGGGCGGGAAGGTGACGTCGGGACGGTGCGTGACTAACGCACCGCCCCCATGCGACGTCACAGCCAGTACAGCGCCCACCACAGTGGGGAGTGTCGGGGCGCACAATGCGCCTCCTCCCCTCGCTAGTATCCGCCCCAGAGCCGCGGCAAAGGTGTAAAAGAGCCACATGCGGCTCCGGAGCCGCGGGTTGCAGACCTCTGTGCTAGAGGAACCAAAGTTCTGACTCTGTGTAAGGCAGCTTCCTCTGTTCCGATATCCTTAATTTCTACCCCAGCAGGAAAAGGTCTGTGACCTGCTTAGCAGGTGGTTCCATGTGCCCTGTTTGTGTCACACAATCTTTTGTCACCCAAAATCCATCCCCAGGTGACCCTTACCTCCATTCTAATAGTGCAAGCGTGAGGTCCATCCGAAGAAAACAGTTGCGTTGGAGGGAGCGAGAGGAGGAAAGAGAGAAAAAGAGAGGTGAAACGGCCAGTGCAAAATAGATTTGCATCTTTACACAAATAAAGCTTGGAAGAGCTCCGTAGCGTTTTTCTTTTAAGTTCTTAGGGAGAAGAAAGAGAATAAAAATACCTTCTGGTAGTGCCGTAGCTGAAGAGGGGGAAGGCAGGGGGGCTAGCCAGGTTTTTATGCCCTGGGTGAAGCCTTCAGAGGGGCACCATTGAGGCTCCCTGCCTGCGTACACAAATGTGCAGGGTATGTGAGCAGGGCCGGATTTTGGTTTGATGAGGCCCTCAGCTACTGAATGTAATGGGGCCCTTTATATGTCCAGCTGTCCTTTGTCAACAACAAATTGTCGGTGTTTTTTGTGTTGAATATATGCTATATGGTAATTTATGGATCTAATAGTTATTTCAAGCCATTTGCACATGTTGCCGTGCAACCAGTCCATGCAGAATGTAGGCACCCTATACATAGAAATGAGCGAACCAGTGATATATTAGGGAGTGGGCTAGCAGGCGGGGCCCATGACTTACATCAGGCATAGGCAAACTCCGGCCCTCCAGATGTTTGGGACTACAATTCCCATCATCCCTAGCTAACAGGACCAGTGGTCATGGATGATGGGAATTGGAGTCCCAAACAACTTGAGGGCCGGAGTTTGCCTATGCCTGACCTACATCATAGGAGCCTACACAACAGAAAACACTGTTGCTGTAGGTAGGTTTTATTTTATTTGTTTTTTAACTTATATTTTGGAAATGTACATCCGGTTTTTTTTCCTTTAAATATTTTTGGGCCCCCCAAGAGAGTGGGGCCCTAAGCTATAGCTTGTTTAGCTTATACGTAAATCTGGCACTGTATATGAGTCAAACTGGGTCTTTCACTTGGGTGAAATGAACCTAGTTTCGCCCCTGCCCTCTGGATAAATTGTTCTCCTGATTTGGTTACAGGCATAGAGGCACAAAAGCAAGCTTCCGAAACAGATCTCTAGCTGGATGAGGAGTCCCATAGGGGCAAAAAACAAAAAAACCCTCCCAAAGCATTTTCTGTATGTCTATTTTCCCCTTCAGTTCACTTCCACAACAGTTTGTGTGATGCCCGCTGAGCAAATCGGAAAATCCACAAAGAGATCCGATTGTCTGTCTCCCACATCAGTTTTGGGAGAAAGGGGCAGAGAATACAGACATTATTAGCCTTGCCTGGTTTAAAGCAGACCAGATTTGTGGGGGGGGGGGGTATTGGACATCAACAAGGCTTTAAACAGCCTGGTTCTCTCCACATCTACTCAGAAGTAACTCTATATTAAGTTTGATGGTACTTACTCCCAAGTAAATGTGTCTAGAATTGAAATCGAAAAGGGTGGCCTACACAGAAAGCCGCCATGAGCAGAAGCAGCCTGCCATGGGCGGTGAAGGCACTATGCAGAGCCATCTTTCCTATTGGGCTTACTGGCGCGTTGCACCAGGGCGCTGGCCTCTCAGGGGCGCCCCAGCGAGTGGGAAAGCTGTGTGGCTTTGCCAGCGGCCTCCCCTTTCCCTGCACGCCCGTCAGCTGGGCCCCATCAACCATATGGCTGGCGGGTGTGCAGCTTGCCTCCCAGGCCTCTGCAGGAGGAGAGCGATACCCGCAGAGGCTTAGGAAAAGGTCGACAATTCTGGGAAACGGGGGGGAGGGCGGAGGGGTCTTTGAACCACGGCGCCGGATATGCTTAAGACGGCCTTGGCACTATGCTACCTTCCCGTTCCTCACCAGCAGGGAGGTCAGGGTGATACATTTGCACCTTGCCCAGCTCTCTGCTGCCTCACTGCTCCCGGCGGAAGTTAGAGGAGCTATGGAAGTCTTCGTCTTTTATCACTGTTCAGAAAACTATCTGAAGTGGTGCCTCCTCCTATACCAGGGGTCTGCAACCTTTAAGACAAAAAGAGCCACTTGGACCCGTTTCCGAAGAAAAAAAAACTGGGAGCCGCAAAACCATTGCGACATTTAAAGCAAATATATCTCTGGAGCCGCGATCTGACAGCGGGCGGGAAGGTGACGTTGGGACGGTGCGTGACTAACGCACGCACCGCCCCCATGCGATGTCACAGCCAGTACAGCGCCCGCCACAGTGGGGAGTGTCGGGGCGCACAATGCGCCTCCTTCCCTCACTTGTATCCGCCCCAAAGGTGTAAAAGAGCCACATGCGGCTCCGGAGCCGCGGGTTGCAGACCCCTGTCCTATACTGAGCTGCATGGGTCAGCAGAGGAGGCCCAGCTATTGATGCTGCCACGCTCTGTGGGTTTGAGCAGGCATGGTCTTCTCTGCGGTGGCCCCTCCAAGTTGTAGACTGCCCTTCCCTCTGAGGTGTGTCTTGCACCATCACTGCATGCTTTTCAGGGACTGGTCAAGACACACCTCTTTAGCCAGGCCTTTGGTCAAGCGGATGTCTTCTCTGCCCCCGCATTGCTGTGCTCTGCAGCTCTGCCTGGTCATTCTGATGTTGGATTTATTTCATTATTTTATTCGGCCTTAAATTGGCATTTGCAGGGGGCAGGGGTGTATGTGTGTGCTACTGGGAGCATTTGGCGAAGTACAAATAATAAATAAATGAAGACCACACACAAGATCAAAGTAATCTTGGTGTGATTTTTGCACCTTGTCATGTTGTACACATTGTGAGTAAAATGGGAAATGGGGGGAGGGGGGGACCACAACATTTTTCCTGAACAATTTGGTATTCCATATACTTTCCTTTGGGACCAACCTGTCCCCGGTTCATGTAAGTAATACTCAAGATGTTTATGCCTCCCTGAACTATTTTCACATGGCTGTTAGGTGATATTAATATAGTGCTTCCTCACAGCTACTTCCTTCTCCTGGATGAGTTTACAGAGTGTCTTGGGACACCGTAACCAGGATGGCAGCAAATATGTCGGAAATTATAGCTGTGCCAACCTCTGAAGTGTAATAATATAGGAAGAAACAGCCGGGAATGAGGTGCACTCCTAGATCAAATTTATCCTGCTGCAAATTACAAGGAAGCCAAGCCCTTCAACTTTCTATGAGGTCTCTCTCTGTGTGCGAGCAAAACCCCAGGCAGAAGTTAAAGGACATTTGATTCCCCCACAAGTGCCTCTTTCTCTAAAAGCATACCTGATACATTGATAGTGGCTGCGGCTTTTGCTGTGCCGTAAGTCTCGCTGTGCTTATTTGTAGCTATGCAGGTGAACAAACCCGGCCGGGTGACGTAGACTTGCAACCTGGAATCGATCACTCTGTCTTTGACGGTTTCTACGATGGATCCTGCTGAGACCTAAAACAAATGAGCGACGGTTCAGATGTATTGCGTAAAAACCACAGGTCATCAGAATATAGAAACAAAACAAGTGTAGCTGGTGCAGAATTCAGCGGCCAGGTTGCTGGTTTCAGCATATTACACCGATCCTGGTCCGACTGCACTGGCTACCAATTAGTTTCCGGGCCCAATTCAAAGTGCTGGTTTTGACCTATGAAGTCTTAAATGGCTCAGGACCACAATACCTCAAGGACCGCCTCTTCCCATATGAACCTATGTGGTCCCTGAGATCGTCTTCTGAGGTCCTGAAAGATCTACATTGGCTCCCGGTGCATTTCCGAGCACAATTCAAAGTGTTGGTGTTGACCTTTAAAGCCCTAAACAGCCTCGGTCCATTAGACCTGAAGGAGCATCTCCACCCCCATCGCTCAGCCTGGACACTGAGGTCCAGCGCCGAGGGCCTTCTGGTGGTTCCCTCAGTGCAAGAAGTGAAGTTACAGGGAACCAGGCAGAGAGCCTTCTCAGTAGTGGTGCCCACCCTGTGGAATGCCCTCTCATCAGATGTCAAGGAAATAGACAACTATCTGACTTTTGGAAGACATCTGAAGGCAGCCCTGTTTAGGGAAGTTTTTAAAGTTTGATGTTTTATTGTATTTTTAATATTTTGTTTAAGAGTGGCTAGGGAAACCCAACCAGATGGGCAGGGTATAAATAAATTATTATTATTATTATTATTATTATTATTATTATTATTATTATTATCAGCAGCTTAAAAAGTCAATAGGGCACAAGACTCTTAATCTCAAGGTCATGGGTTTGAGTCCTGTGTTGGGTAAAAGATTCCTGCATTGCTGGGGGTTGGACTAGATTACTCTCATGGTCCCTTCATATGTAGCATGGTAGACTACGACTGTTTTTAATTATAAATAACCAACCTGCTTGCAAAGGGGGGGCATGGACTGTGAGGTTAGGACCAATGATTTAAACCTGTAATATCAGTACATTAATGTGGCTCTCTTGCCTAGGAAACGAATAAGGGAGAAGGTGTTGAAGAGCCAGTGATTTAACGCTGATATTTTATACCCTGCTCTGATTCACACCAGCATTTAGAGCCACTTGTTCGCTTTCATTAGGAGCACATATTTCCTACATTAATAGGCATGCTTGTGCAAACACTGAGAGCAAGCCAGAAGTTGGTCTGGTGAAAAAGGGCCGGTGTCAATTAATCCACAGGGTGTCAGGTTTCCCGTTTCTGTCTAAATATTTTGTTGACTGAAATATTTAACCAGGTTGTTCTTTTAGTCAGAAATCACTTCTCTGGATTTAGTGTGCAGAAGCAATTTCCTCAAGAGCATGAACCCAGTTCTGATTGAGTTCATTGAGGTGCTATAGTGTCAGAGGCAAAAGCACCAGATTTAATAAAGTCCCAGGTTTAAACTGTTTTTCCTTATTTGCCATAGGATAAAGGCAGATTTCCCTGCAGTCAAGGAGGAGGTCAATGATGCGCTTTCAGCGAGACGTGTGTGTCAGACTGCATTTCTTAGTGCAGAAAGTATTGATCTCATGTGTAAAGATCTTTCCTATGCTTTCCTATTCTGATTAATTCTAGAAGCTACTAGAAGTTTCTCTGTATGAGAGAAGCAGGGGCAGAAGGGCTAATGATTGTTTGGGTTATACCTTCAGAGAAGCTGAGTACAGCTGCTTTGAATTAGTTTCCTCCCAATTAAGGTCATGGTGACTAAAAATATAGGCAGAAGGAGCCTGGGTTTTTACCTTTTCTCTTCTCTCTCTCTTCTTTCTGGTGTGGTGTTTCTGTTTCTGTACATAGGATGCTTAGTGCTAAGGTTTAGTCTTATTGTGAGTTAAGTTTATAAATGCTGCAACTGGATTTTGTATTGACTGAGCCAAACCTCATTGTATTGGATTTGATAACCATTACACTACATTTGCCTTCAGCACAAGTAAAGCTCTGTTGAATGAAGTACTATTGCCATAGCTGTCAACTTTTCCCTTTTCTTGCGAGGAATCCTATTCGGAATAAGGGAATTTCCCTTTTAAAAAGGAAAACGTTGACAGCTATGACTATTGCCTCTGGTCTATTTTTGGGAACTCTGCTGAACTCTGCAACGTGTTTAAGGTTTTCCTCCACACATATGACAACAAATGACAATGTAGACCAGATCCAGATTTACAGAATCATAGAGTTGGAAGGGACACCGAGGATCATCTAGTCCAACCCCCTGCAATGCAGAAATCTCAGATAAAGCATCCAGGACAGATGCCCATCCAACTGCTACTTAAAAACCTTCAAGGAAGGAGAGTCCACCACCTCCCGAGGGAGACCGTTCCTCTGTCAAACAGCTCTTACTGTCAGAAAGTTCTTCCTGATGTTTAGTCAGAATCTCCTTTCTTGCAACTTGAAGCCATGGGTTCAAGTTCTATCCTCCAGAGCAGGAGAAAACAAGCTTGCTCCATCTTCCATGTGACAGCCCTTAAGATATTTGAAGATGGCCCTCATATCTTTAGGTGCATGCCAAAGTGGTGCATGCTCTGGTTATCTCCCGCTTGGACTACTGCAATGTACTCTATGTGGGCCTACCTTTGAAGGTGACCCAGAAAAGCAAAGGGTGCCCCCCCATTTAATGTGGGGAGTGGTCATTGTAAAATCAAATAAAAATGATGAAAGAGAGTGAGGGAGGGAGAGAATTGGGTAGAGAATAATCAGAGGGAGCAATGGAAGTATAGGCCTTCTGACCTTGTTGTTGTTTAGTCTTTTAGTCGTGCCAACTGATTGGTTCAAAATTGGGAAAGGAGTACGACAAGGCTCCCTTCTTATATTGTCTCCCTTCTTATTTAACTTATATGCAGAATTCATCATGCAAAAGGCTGGACTGGATGAATCCCAAGCCAGAATTAAGATTGCTGGAAGAAATATCAACAACCTCAGATATGCAGACGACACAACATTGATGGCAGAAAGTGAGGAGGAATTAAAGGACCTTTTAATGAGTGTGAAGGAGGAGAGCTCAAAATATGGTCTGAAGCTCAACATAAAAAAAAAACCGAAGATCAGGGCCACTGGTCCCATCACCTCCTGGCAAATACAAGGGGAAGAAATGGAGGCAGATTTTACTTCTGACCTTAAAAACCTCTATTCTGCAATGTAATAATTTCTGGGCTTTGGCCCCCTTTTTTTTTTAACACCTAAGAGCAGCCAGTTGATAGCGCCAACATGGCCCCTCAAACTTCCTTTCCCTTCTGTTCCTCTTCGTCTTAAAGGGACCCTGTCAAGTCAGGGAAATTTTTGTGTGTGTGGCTTTCCGTCCTGGCTGCAGATTTTGGAAAGGAAATGTGAGAACTTGCAAGGCTGAGTCAGAAGGCTTCGCTCTCAGCCTGGACCACACAGCCAAGGAGACTTTCCTTGCCACGTTCGCTGATAGAACTCACAGGGACAGGGAAATAAACGCAGGGAGAATTGAAAAGAGCTTCAGTTCTAGGGGCAAGCTCTGTCGCCAAGCTCCCATTAGGTAATAACAATCCCTTACTGCCTTGGCACGGCTAACTTCAGACCAGCTTGAAAGACAGTTAAGCACTGCACTCTTTGCCATTTGCACTGTGGAAACGAGGAGAAAATAGCTGCAGGAAGCCTTGTGAACATTGCAAGGGACTGCATTTTTAAGTCTGGGCAGCTTTTCAACTTGAAATGTGAGACCCTGGTAAATTATGACAATTTATTTCGTACAAAAATCCTGTCACTCACTCTCAAGAAATTGCTTTTTTTCATCCTTAAAAAAATAAAAATAACTCAATTTAGGAATTAAACTTGAGACCATATCAAGTATATATTTAGGCTACAAGTTCAGATCCAGTTTTACACCCATTCCACTGACGAAAAGAATGCAGAGAGCGGTACTTTGGCGGGAAAGCTGATACTTCCCTATCGTGGGTCCCCATGCACTCAGTTCGTAGCATTCCTTGAGAGAGAGAGAGAGAGAGAGAGAGAGAGAGAGAGAGCAATGCCTTGTAACTGATAACAAAGTTCAACAAAATTAAGGAAGTGCAAGTGGGGCCTGCAACAAAAGCTTGCAGGGCAAAGTGCTCCTGTTCAGAGTTCCAGCCAGCCATGTTCGCTTTCATTCCATTCAATCCCCATCTCACATTTTCTATTTTCCCACCTCCAATAGACACACGGTGTTCTGTGGCCCCTGAGTATATTCTCATGGGGCTTCTTTATGCCCAGTTAGTTTACCCCTCTCTCAGTTATTGTTTGTACTTCCACACTCCTAGGGGGGTTCCCTGAGCAGGCTGCCCCCCTCTTGTGGGTGGGTGGTGCAGTTTCAGCTACAGAAATATCAGCACTTGAGCCTGAGCATCGCTAACAGAGGGCATATCTTTGCATGCCCAGTCGCAGACCCTCCTCCCCGGGAACTAAGCCCAGATAATTATATTCACATATTTTTTTATTTTATTCCCCCCCCCTTCAATTTTAAAGGTGCGGCTTATATTTGGGTGTGGCTTATATTCATGCTGTGATAAGAATTTTAAAGTCTTAGATATACAGTGGTACCTCGGGTTACATACGCTTCAGGTTACAGACGCTTCAGGTTACACATTCCACTAACCCAGAAATAGTGCTTCAGGTTAAGAACTTTGCTTCAGGATAAGAACAGAAATCAGGCTTTGGCAGCGTGGCAGCAGCAGGAGGCCCCATTAGCTAAAGTGGTGCTTCAGGTTAAGAACAGTTTCAGGTTAAGTACAGACCTCTAGAACGAATTAAGTACTTAACCTGAGGTACCACTGTATAATAAATGTTCATAAATGTACCAACCAAGCACGTACATAGATCAGCACAGGAAGACCGACCTGAAACCATTTTTGATTCCCCAACCGACCAAATGTTTTCTCTGCAAGGTCAAAGGGAAATGGAAAAGTCTCCCCATTGTCTTTTCCTTCACAAATCCTGTCTTAAGGGTATATCTGTCTGTGTTTGAATAGGGTGAGCCTGTGACCTGGCTCAGGAACTAAGTATTTATCATTACAAAAGACTGGCCAGGCTCCACAGGGTATCCAATCAAGTGAGCAGTAACAGGTAACCTGTCAGACGAGATAAACAACGCACTCAGATTTCTGCTGTAGACCGCCTTTTCTGTGATGTAGGTATGATGTATCTGGGGGTGGTGGTCTTGGGTTACACCCTTTCTGTGATGTCTGTATGATGTATTGAGGGGTGGTCTGGAGCTCCAGGGCAGGGAATTTAAAATTTCTATATAAGGGCAGGCACACCTTTGTTCTGGGTTCCTCCTCCTTTCCTCTGTGTGAGGGGAGCACCCTGTTGCAACAGATCAATAAAGATCAGGCTTACTAGCTGCTTTGCTTCTCAATATTCTCTGGTTGGCCTCTGTTATTTTCTCCTACCAGTAGGGAACCTACGTAAGGACACTATATGAGCTCTTGGATACCCTATAAGGGGAGAAGGGCAGATTTTTTGTTAACAGTGCCAATGCGGTAGCTAACTTGCTCCACAGAGCACATACTTGAGTAAGGATCTCATCCTCTACTGGCTGAACTGGGAAACCACCTGAGTTAAACCTGTGCACACACACACCTTGCAGTGACTCTTTCTAGACATTCATTTATTTTCCCTTAGCCTAATAATTCATAACCTCTGATGTCTTGAGGACTGTTTTCTTAGTTCTTGTTTTGGGTGAGTCACATATTTTCCTGCATTGTAGCTGCTGCAAAACTCAGCAGTCCTATCCAGCTCGCAGACCCTCCAAGTGTCCCTATTTTCCAGGGACAGTCCCAGATTTACAGAAGCTGTTTCCCAGTTTCTGATTTGATCCCAGAATGTCCTGCTTTTCCTTAGGACGTCCCTGTTTTCATCAGAGAAATGTTGGAGGGCATGGAGTTATGCGACCCCAGAGCCAAGGAGATAAGGAACTACACAACCTTTAGAAGCCATCTGAAGGCAGCCCAGTATAGGGAAGTTTTTTTTAATTTTTTAAATGTTTTTATATATGCTGGAAGCCACCCAGGGTGGCTGGGGAAACCCAGTCAGATGGGCGAGGTATAAATAATAAAATTATTCTTATTGCGTGTTGAGTCCCACAGTTGCCACCCCCAAATAATTCACACTTCACACATCAATTTTTGTTTGGGTTTTTGGCATAATTTTGGCCACAACTTTATTCAATACAAAATATGTGAGTGGTTGCTTAGGCATTGGTTATGACTATCTGTCCATGCCCTCAGGGACAGAGCTGGCATTCCGGACACCAGCGGAAGCCAGAGGCATTCCGGACACCAGCGGAAGCCTTAGTGGGAAACAAGTATTGGGTGAGAAAATGAAGCTGGGCATCAGTCCCTCACTTCTCACCCTCATGTTCCTTTGGGGCTTGCACGGCCCAAGTCCGATGCCAGGGACAAGGACTAAAAGAATGGCAAGCCCCTGGATTCCTTTAATGGAATTCCCTTCGCATCATTTGGAGGGGTAGGCACTTACCCCTCCAAGAACCACCTTAACCAATGCCTAACCGCCAACCTTACAAGTTGTGACGATTTGCTACGCAGTAGGCAAAAACCAAATGGCACCAGCCAATCAGCCAGATGGCAAAATTCCTACTGTGCCCCCGCACCAAGGCAGACGACACCATGACAGGCATAGCAAGGTCAAGCGCTCAGGAAAAAACCCCCCATTAAAGGGAGGGAGGGCGGGTGATCCGAAGCAAACGGCCAAGAGGAAGTCCAACCCCTGGCTCCCTATATTTATAGACTCTAACCCCTCCTCTGAATTTAGCAACATACAAAACTCCCCAGCAACCCAATATTAACCCTTTAGCAGGCTTGGGGTTTTTCCTCAAATCTGCCTAGTCATGGCAAGGTGGCATGTTTCCCCAACCGCAACACGTGCTCTCTGGTTAGGGAGAACACGCTTTATGAAATAGGACGTCCCAAGTTTTCATTGGAGAAATGTTGGAGGGTATGCTGCTGCACTGAACAAGCAAGATGAATGAAAAAGAAGCATGAATGAAAGTATGAGAGACATTCAAATGTCAAGGAGATAAAGAGCTACACAACTTTTAGAAGACATCTAAAGGCAGCCCTGTTTTTAATGTTTTTAATGTTCGATATTTTGCTGTGTTTTTATATATGCTGTAAGCCGCTCAGAGTGGCTGGGGAAACCCAGGCAGATGGGTGGGGAAGAAGAAGGAGAAGGAGAAGGAGAAGGAGAAGGAGAAGGAGAAGGAGAAGGAGAAGGAGAAGGAGGAGGAGGAGGAGGAGGAGGAGGAGGAGGAGGAGGAGAAGGAGAAGGAGAAGGAGAAGGAGAAGGAGAAGGAGAAGGAGAAGAAGAAGAAGAAGAAGAAGAAGAAGAAGAAGAAGAAGAAGAAGAAGAAGTATAGATTCTCATAGGTAGCTGTGTTGTTCTGACGCAGTCAAAATAAAACAATAATAATTGTCCAGTAGCACCTTAGAGACCAACTAAGTTTGTTCTGGGTATAAGCTTTCATGTGCATGCTTATACCCAGAACAAACTTAGTTGGTCTCTAAGGTGCTACTGGACAATTTTGTAATAATTAGTATTATTATTATTCCAAATTTTGTGGATGCTTCACATCAACTAGTTACGTGTGAGTCAAAACTGATACAGGGCTGATAAGTCATTCAGTCTAGCTCAGTCGGAAGGTAGAAAGAGCTGAGTTTTCATTCAGCATCGCTATTTACTTTGCAAAAGCATTTGGAAATTTTCTTGCGTGTTTCCTTTTTTACTCCCCGGCCTCCTCAAGGTCCAGCTGACAGCATGTGGCCTGCAGACCTCAGCTGAAGAATCACACATGTTCCCAGCAACTGCAAAGACACTTACGGCTTTTCCATTTTCAAGCCATGTCACCGTAGGGGTTGGAATGCCTGTTGCTGCACATCGCAGCGTCACCACAGAGCCAAAGCTGACGTTGTAGGATTCGGGAGCTTTCAGGATTCGGGCGAAAACTGTATATGGAAGAAGACAAAGTTGTGGTTAATATTCATGGTCAGCCACTGGTCAAAACTCTGGGGATTTCTCTGTCGCTCATCAAACAGCTGAAAGTCAAGCTAATCCAAGGTAAAACCAAATCGTTACTGAAGGCAAAAAACAAGCATCATAATAATAATAATATTTATATGCCACCCATCTGACCAGGTTGCTCCAGCCACTGTGGGCAGTTCCCAACAAAATAATAAAGACACAATACAACATCCACCATTAAAAACTTCCCTAAACAGGGCTGCCTTCAGATGTCTTCTAAAAGTTAAACAGTTGCTTCTTTCTTTGACATCTGATAGGAGAGCATTCATCCACACTACCAAGATGTCAGTTTGTTTTACTTTCGTGCATATACAGTAGACCCTCTGGTTACGGATTTAATTCATTCCGGGGGTCCATGCACACCCTGAAAAATCCATAACCAAAGGCCTGCTTCTGCGCACGCGCGATAGAGTGCTTCTGTGCACGCACATGGCACACAGAGCGCTTCTGCGCATGCGGCTAAACCCAGAAGAATACATTTCCGGGTTTGCCACGTTTGTAGCCTGAAAGTTACATAACCAGAGCGGTACATAACCGGAAGGTCTGCTCTCTCTCTCTCTCTCTCTCTCTCTCTCTCTCTCTCTGTGTGTGTGTGTGTGTTTTCTACAGTCCTGGACACAGAATTATGTACACAGAATTATCCATACCCTTCAAAAGAAATACCAAAACTATCTATCATGCTAAAATAAAGGTTTGTGTCAAAACCTGGCTTCTGTTGCATGAATAAATTACCATATTTTTTGCTCTATAAGGCTCACTTTTCGCTCCTAAAAAGTAAGGGAATGTGTGCATCTTATGGAGCGAATGCAGGCTGCACAGCTATCCCAGAAGCCAGAACAGCAAGAGGGATTGCTGCTTTTGCTGCACAGCGATCCCTCTTGTTGTTCTGGCTTCTGAGATTCAGAATATTTTTTTCTCTTGTTTTCCTCCTCCAAAAACTAGGTGTGTCTTATGGTCTGGTGCGTCTTATAGAGCGAAAAATACGGTATGCAAATTGCATCCCCGATCATGCCTGGATAGCTCAGCCAGTAAGAGCCTGGTGCTGATAAGGTTGCAAGTTTGATCTCCATATGGGACAGCTGCGTATTCCTTCATTGCAAGCGGTTGGACTCGATGATCCTTGGGGTCCCTTCGAACTCTATGATTCTATTATTCTTTTTACATCTTTTACTGCTTGAGCAGGCAAAGAGGGCCACCAGAAAAGGCCCCAAGGGCCACACGTGGCCCTCGGGATGTGTGTTGGACTGCCCTGATCTTGAGGAACAGACATTCCCCTTCCCTGCCTTACAGAATCAAGCCAGCCCCTGCAAATCAAATAGGTTGCAGATTCATTTAGCAGCGGTGGGGGGGGGGATCATACTGCATGTATTCCACTAGTAGATTATCAGAAGAAACCTCTTTAGACACATCCATAATACAGAGACCGAAACAAAATGTGAAGAATTTTTGTCTGGCGTCCCTGTAGAAAACCCATGTAATACAACGACTCATTTCTATATTCGCAGCAGCAAATCCCTAAAGGCAAGTGCATGGAAGGATAAGATGTGTTCGAATTACCTTCCTAAGGAAATGAGGGAGGAAGTTCTTTTCATGCCAGACCTTGTTCTGTGCACGTAAAGGAGCCTTTAGCCGCATGTATAAAGTTAAAGGTAAGCCAAGTCTGTTGGCTCAGCTGTCGAGAGCATCTGATGACTCAAGTCCAGGAAATAGTACACCATAATAATTGTTTTAAAGATGTCTCAGGACTCTGGACTTATCCATTCAGTGGCGTAGCGTGGGTTGTCAGCACCCGGGGCAAGGCAAGTAATTTGCGCCCCCTAACCCCTAACCTGCCACCGCTGCCAGCTTCTTCTTGCTGCTGCCTGGGCTGGGGTATTTACGGTAAGGTAGCCACGGCGGCAGCGGCAGGTCCGTGTCAGGTGATCTGAGGCGAGTTGCCGCTGGCGCTGCTGCCCAAACGACGCCGCTTGCCCGGAGGAGGAGGAGGGCAGAGAGGGGCGAGGAAAATGCAACATGGCCCAGCAGCTGCAGCAGCAGCGGCTGCGGCGGGGCTGTGAGGAGGGGCTGCCTGGCGCGCCCTCCGCGGCCCTGATGCGTGGGGACCGCGGCGAGTGCTGAGAGCCGCTGCCAGCTCTTCGTTTCCGCGAGACATGGGGCTCTGCTACAGCCTGCGCCCGAGGCTCTTCGGCGACTCCGGAGGCGGTGAGCGCGCCCCCCCCCCAGATGTTGCGCCCGGTGCGGCCGCCCCCCCCCTGCACCCCCACGCTACGCCACTGTATCCATTCATCCCTTTTGCCCTGCGGTTTCTAGGCACAGGTTTACACTGTAAAGCTCTGAGTCCAAGCGTTGCTGTTGTTTGTTTGCTTGTTTGTTTTGCCCCGCCCCTTTCCCTAGGAAAACCCACTCTTTAACGCTGTAGCAATTCAGGTTTTCGTGGATTGCTATTTGCTCTGATTCAGCATTAAAGAGCGGGCTTCCATGGGGAAGTTATTATTATCGTTTAATTTACTTATGACATTTATATACCACCATAGTTTTCCAAGGATCTCCTTGGTTCTCCTCTTCCCCATTCCATCCTCACAACAACCTTGTAAGGTGGGGTAGGCTGAGAGATGGTCACTGGCCCAAGGTCACCCAGTGAGCTTCATGGCTGAGTGGGGATTCGAACCCTGCTCTTCCAGGTCCTGGTCCAACACTCTAACTCAGAGGCTGTCAACCTGCTCCCTACTGCCCACTAGTGGGCGCTTCAGGATTCTAGGTGGGTGATCTAGGTGGGCGATCCACCATCGAGCATTGGTAGGCGGTAAGGAAATTTTACCATCAAGAAAGATGCATTAGTGGGCGGTGGGTATAAAAAGGTTGACTACCCCTGCTCTAACCAATATGCCACGCTGGGACAAAAAATAATAATAATGCTTTATTATATAAAGCACAAAGCTTTAAAGTCCCTTTGTTTAATTCTCCACACTCTGTCCTTTGTAAAGTTTGCCGCGGCAAATATTACAGGGCTGACTAAAACCCCTACAGCATTCTGCATCTCCATCAGAGTTTGATAATATGCTTCAGGGAAATAGTAAAGAATAATTAAAATGGCAACAACAACAACCACCACAAAGTTGTGAAGGAGCCCCAAAGTCTTAAGTGAATCAGTTCAGGAGGTCAAGTTATTGCCTAGTAACTTGTTGTGAAGTTCATGCAGTCAGTCTGGAAGCCTCCTGCTAAAAGAAGTGGAGGCAGGGGAAGGCTTTCGTAAAAGAAGGGCTCGGTGGATTGGGCCCATCATCTGTTAGAGGCCAAAGACACAGGCTGGGCAGCAAACCAAATGAAATCTCACTCTGATCGAAACCAAAAATTCATTTGTTCCCAAGGTTCCCACAGACACAGCAACAAAAGGAGATGAACCAAGCACTGTGTTTTCCTCATCTCTCCAATAACATTTAATTTATTTATGACATTTATATACCACTATAGTCTTCCAAGGATCTCCTTGGACAAAGAAAGAACCAGTGCACATTAGGGGATACCAGTTTCCACCAACACTAATTATTCTCCCCTGCAAATGCACCCCAGGCTGTATGGATTTATTTTTCCTTACTGGTCTCCAGCACTGAACTCAAGCCCAGCTGAGGGGGCAAAAATAACCAGATGCAGCCCTTTCGGGGGGAGAACTGGCTCGTGTGGGAAATATTAAGTACCCTCTCACTGCCAACTTCCACATACAAAAAACCTCCCCCTGTTCCAAGCCCAACATTCTGTTATCACAGCAAATGAGGGTTTGGAGATACACATTGGACAACTTGAGAAGCGACTTGCCCTCCAGTTTAATGCGGACATTTATCTAACTCCCCTAAGCAAGGAATTCGGGGCCGACTTGGGTTCATGAGAAGAAACATGACAGTGAAGAGACATTACGTGGTCCAGAGAAGAGACCGGGAAGCTAAAGAACCTTCTCCTTCCTCTGAGCTTCATTGTGAAGGTTGCAGTTCTTGCATGTCCCCTGCCAAGGACTAATGATTAAGCGGGGGGGGGGGGGGAGGTTAGCTTTTGAGATCTGCTTTTTTCTTTTTTTAAAAAAATTTATTAAAGATTTTCTTGTTTTACAGAAGTAAGTGTAATGTCTCTCATATTTTTTCCGTGTAACATTTTTACAAATCCGTTTCATTTGTTGAGACATTAGGGGGAGGAGGGGAAAATAAGAAGGGGTGGAGGGAGGGAAGATGGGTGGGGGTGGGGTCGGGTGGCGATGTTTCTGTTATGCTTAATGTATGTAGGGTTTGGTGTCAGCGTTGCTTGTGCTGCTTCACTTGTGTTCCTTTGGTGGTGAGAGAGGTTGGGGTTGGCCTAGGGTGTGATTGTTTCTTTGTGATTGGCTGTGGTGATCTTTGTTTTCATGTGTGAGTGGGGTGGGTGGGTGTTTTGGATCAGGTTAGCCATATTGATTTGTATGCTGTTGGTGGATTATTGTCATTGTCTTGTCTTATCACAGTGTATGTGATAAAGGGGAGCCATACCGGGGTAAAAGCGTCTTCTTCTGTTTGTCCCCGTGTCAGTTTCAGTTTATTGGTTAATTTTTCTAGTAGGGCTGTTTCCCATACTATTTGGTACCATTGGTCCATGCTTACTCCTGACAGGTCTCTCCAGTGTCTAGTTATGGTGTTTCTGGCTGCTGAAAGTAGGTGGGTTATGAGTTCTTTGTGGTGTAAATGGGCATTGTTGCCTTGGAAGATGTTTAGTAGGGCCGATTCTGGGGTGATGTCTAATATTTGCTTAGTTATTTTACATATTTCTTGTGTGGCTGTTTTCCAGAATAGATCTGCTGAAGTCATTTAGGTGCCATCATTCATGCCCACATATCAAGTCCTTCTCACACAGACTTTGCTTTTTGTTACACGCTGGACTGAGCCCAACGAGTTCTCTAGTTTCTCTGGATTTTGTAATGTGGAAAGCAGAGTCCTGCGGATGACCGTGAGGTTCTGAGACTGTCACAGCTGCGTGACACCCACATGCATCATCATAATTGTTACAAAGCCCCCTGTTTAAGACATGCACATTGTTAAACCATGCAGATTGCGTGTGCGAGAGGGAGCCGTTTCCCAATGAGGTACGCACAGCCATTTATCCTGGCTGACTTCCAAATCATTCAGATAATTGGAAATTTGGATAAATGGGTATGCCAGCCACGCGAGGTTACATTTATACTGCTCTGTGGGGTGAGTACACAATGAACGCACAGAATGAACTTGTGCAACGTGGTGTTTAGATTAAATCATGTTTGATTAATGGGGTTCTACCAAGTAGACAGTGGCTTGCAATATTCGCCCATGCCAAATTTCTCGTATGTTCTCTTTCCTCCATCAGTTCCATTGAGCTGTTGTTAGTGTCATCAACCAAACAGAGTTGACGGGTTGGAATATTGCCACTGCAAAGATAATTAATGCTATAAACACTAAAACACAGCACACATGGTCTGAAAATACCTCCGTCTGTTGCATTTCTCTCATTAAGAGCTGCACAACAAAGAAATTGATAAAAGAGATGAATGTTCCAAGTTCTCCAAACAAACAAGCCCTGCATATGTCACAATTTATGTATTTATTTTTTTTAAAAAAACCTACCAAATTACTTACTGCCATGACCGCATCTTAAGTGCAATGCTTAATTTTGATAGGAGGCAGAATTAAAACAGAAGCTGTGTTAAAATATCATAATTCCTTAAGGGGGGAAACAATGCAAGTTTGGAACATCTGCAGGAGACTTTTAAGGCCTTTAGTCTGTATCCCTTTCGTCATTGTTTATTTAGAATGAGCATTCCAGTACTGCAAGCAGATAAACCCTTCGAGTGAAGCGTCATATTTGTATGATTTTGCAACATAGAGCAGAACAGTCTGTGCATTAATCGGAGCGAATTAAAGAGATTATTTTGAAGCAGACCGTCCCCATTAGTGGCAGTTTTATAAATTAAGAAATCATTTAAGTGCGGGGAGGAATGTATCAAGGACATAGTGTTCAGAATTTGAATATTTTGGACATTTAGAAGCAAAATTGTTGTAAAAGTGCTGCCAACTTCAAATAATAATAAAAATCTATAGGAAAGTATTAAAGAGAGATGGGCAAGGTTAGTTGGTATACTCATTATCAAATATGAATGCTTATGCATAGGGGAAAGTATTCATAGCTCGAAGTATCATAAAAATAAAAACTTTCTTATTTTTGTAAATGTTGGCATATTTATGTTAAGCCTGAAGAAGGGAAGACTAGAGCAGTTGTGGTTGGTTGGGTGGTGATCATAGGCTCCAGCTCCTATGGGGCTGAAGACACCTTACTTCACATCCCCCCAAAGTATGGGGGAAAGGAGCTGAGCCCCCCCAATCATGAGGGGATGAACCCCACTGGGCCTCCCTCAGAAGCCCAACCTTGGTTTTCAAATGGTTTCAGGAGTTGAACGGACTCCCAGAACGGATTAAGTTCAAGAACCAAGGTCCCACTGTAGTCGCCAGGGGTCCAACATGGCAGAGTGCCCAAGATGGACCTCAAAATGCTTCCTCCCCAGCTACAGTCAGAAAGTTCTGCCAATTAATATTGGATTGAGAACATGAAGGCTCATTTAGAGAGATAAAAACCAGTGGTTACTGCCTAGAAATTGCTGATTCTAGTTCCACTTATACATTACCCATAAGGTGTGTTTGCTTCTATCTCTGTCATTGTTCTCACAGCATAAAAGGTAAACGGACCCCTGACTGTTAGGTCCAGTTGCGGGCGTAGTGTAACCAGTCTCGCACCTTGTTTTTTAATTTCTCCAAGCTCTGCAACCTCCAATTGTCTCCAATTTTTTCAATTATTTCCCAATATTTCGGCCAGTAGGCCTCCATATTGGGTCTTTTTCGAGCCTTGGCCTCCACTGGTGATAGCCACCTCGGGGTCTTACCCTCTAATAAGTCTTTGTATTTTGTCCAGACCATAAATATTGCTCTTCTGACAATATGGTTTTTAAACAATTTATGAATTTTAACCTTGTCGTACCACAAATATGCATGCCAACCAAAAGCATTATCAAACCCTTCCAGATCTAGGACATCAGTGTTCTCCAACAGAAACCAATCCTTCAACCAGCAGAAAGCTGCAGATTCATAATATAACCTCAAGTCAGTTGCGGACAACTCTGGACGAGTCAGTGCTCATCTTGCTTTACTGGCCGAGGGAGCCAGCGTACAGCTTCCGGGTCATGTGGCCAGCATGACTAAGCCGCTTCTGGTGAACCAGAGCAGTGCACAGAAATGCCGTTTACCTTCCTGCCAGAGCGGTACCTTTTTATCTACTTGCACTTGACTTGCTTTTGAACTGCTAGGTTGGCAGGAGCAGGGACTGAGCAACGGGAGCTCACCCCATTGCGGGGATTCGAACCACTGACCTTCTGATCGGCAAGCCCTAGGCTCTGTGGTTTAGACCACAGCGCCACCCGCATGTCACAGCATATTCAGTTCTTTTCAGACCGTGTGATTACGTATCATTGCTAATATGATTATGTGGCATGTTAGTGACGTAGAAGGATGGGCTGCTAGTATGGTCTAGTCCACATGGCTAGAAGATCTAGATTAGGATGTGGAACCTTTAGAACTCCAACTTTCTGCATGACTCCAACTACTATTAGCCCAGACAAGCAGGGACAGTGGGCAGGGATTATGGGAGTTCTGTTCCAGCTAGATTTCAGGAAGGCCACAGATTTCCCCACCCATGTTCTAGATGTTCCTGGAAGCAACGGTGGAGCAGCTTCAGGGCTGACAGTAACCATATAATTTCTGAAGGAAGGCAGAAATTAGGGAATCTAGGGCAGCGTGTACATGCCATCACTTCCTGACGGAACTATTGAGATAACTGTTGAGGTACCTTCTCCCCTACCTTTCCTAGGGTACCTAAGACCTGTGTGCCCTGCAAGAGTGCAAAAATGAAGAGGTTCAAGCCAGGGACCTTGTGTCACAAGCTCCTCAATAGACCATCAGTCAGCCCGAGAGACCTCTGTTGTTCTATCATTTGCAGCATTTCTTTGTTTTCATATTACAAAACTGCTTATCTGCCTCGAGTGCCTTGTCAGAAAGGCAACATATCAGTGGAATCGAAGTGATCTCATTCTCTGGCACCTTCACAGAAGACTCCATTCGGATGTTACCCATCACCCCAAAATATCTTAGAACGGCTCTAATTTAGCAATGGCATGAGAGGAATCCCCAAATGTATGTTCCTAGAAAAGTTTCTTTATTCAGAATTTCCACAGTAACAAAGCTGAGCTTCCCAGAATAGACTGACTGGTTCGCTTTGAGTTCCCTCCTGAAAACTAAGCTAGTCTTTAGGCTCAATATCCCAAGGTCTTTCTTCCAAATGGACATTGGATCCAAAGTTGAGTCTATAGATGGACCTTAAGGTCCATGAATAATCATAGTTTAGAGGTCCTGGGCCCTAAGGAAGTCAGACTATCCTCCACCAGGACCAGAGCCTTCTCAGTGATGGCTACGACCTGGTGGAATCCTCTGTCCCATGAGACTTTAATTTGAATTCAGCCTGAACTTTTATTTCCCTTCTCTTCCCTCCCCCTCCCCTTCTATGAAGATCACCCACTCTGAGACTCTACAGCTAATTCTCCCCTGGCCTCCTCGCTGGCCCAAGTAGGACCAACTCAGCCAGCTAGCCCTGGGGATTATCTAATTGATTTTTGACTTTTTAATTTTATTGTTATTCATGTTTTTATACTGTATTTTATGCTGCTTTTATAATTAAGTGTTTTAAAGTGTTTTAAATTTGTTGTTAGCCGCTCTGAGCCCGGTTTTTGAACCGGGAAGGGCAGGGTATAATTAAAAATTTATTATTATTATTATTATTATTATTATTATTATTATGGATCACTCACCTTCCACTTCCAAAGTTACAGGCTTTGAGTACGCCGTCCCAAGGCTGTTCTTTGCCATACACCAATAGTGACCACTGTCTTCTCTTCGAACATTATGAATCCTCAAGTTGCCTGATTCAAGAATAGCAATCCGAGCATTTTCCTGCCACAAAAAAAAAAAGAAGGCCCAGAGTGAGAAAGGAAGGGATTTGCTTTACACCAGGGCTAAGGAGCTTTCAGACGATGGGTCAATAAGGGTCTTTTGAACCCAGAGCCACTACTCACACCTGAAACGGGTTGCTCACCTTTATAACATTTTCTCCTTTGATCCACGATACTGAAGGTTTGGGGTTCCCCATCGTAGTGCATGGAAGAACAGCCTTCAGGCCTTCTATTACTTTCACATTGGAAGGTGGGCGAGTTATTTTGGGTTCTAAAACGAAAAAGGTCAAAATGAGATGGAGATAGCGATAGCTGCCACATATCCAAAAGTCAAGTAAGACTATTAAAAGGAGGGTGGGGGAGACAAAGCCCTGTTTTCCTCTCACTATTTGTGCTATAGGTATATTCACTTTCTTATAGTTCAGAGCAGAAACAAAGGTTTCCCTAAACCCCTGTCAGGGACTGGGCAGGGGAGGAATGGTGGAGACCACCTCCCCAGGCTGACCCTTCCAGGGAGGAGGAAGAGGGAGACAGTATAGATTTACAACAGGGGTTTGTGGGAGGTCACAGCTCAGAGGCAGATGAGGGAAAAGTTGGGAAATAATGGGAGACGAGGAGGCAGAACCGGAATGGCAGCTAGCTGACACGGTGCCATTAGAAAGCATTCCAGACCCTCCTTTCCCTTCCTCCCCCACAACAAACAATCTGTGAGATGAGTGGGGCTGAGAGACTTCAGAGAAGTATGACTAGCCCAAGGTCACCCAGCAGCTGCATGTGGAGGAGCAGGGAATCGAACCCAGTTCACCAGATTATGAGACAACCGCTCTTAACCACTACACTACACTGGCTCACTGAAAGTTATCCTGACGACACATCCCTGAAGTTGGGTTTCTCATGAGGCAACTACCACAGATACGAGCAATTCATAACCATGTCCCAAATCACAAGGGCAGAAAGAGACTGAAACATAGGCTGCATCTACACAGCTATAAAAAAACGCTCTGGGGGAAAAACCTTTTAAAGCTCACAATGGAAAATTTCACAGTGCCATTCAGTGTCATGGTGTTATAACACATTTATAACTTTTTTTTTTACTAGTCTAGTTGAGTCCATATAGTATTAAGGCAAATCATGTATTGTGCCCTGTTTTCTTTCTTATGTGAGAACAAAACCAACTTTACGTTCAGTATGGCGTGTGTATACTCACTCATTTTCACCTGCAATGCCCCACATCTTTCTGCCGGTACCCCTACGCCATTGTTTGCGGTGCAGCAATAGACTCCATCATCACTTTCCTCCACACTCAGAATGGTCAGGAGCTGCCCATTTTTCTCTATGCTATACCGTGTGTCAAAGAACCTGAAAAATACATTTAAGTGCATTAAAGGGGGCATTTTAAAAGATGCACGTTACAGACCTGAGCTTATTCACTTGTTGTGAAATGTGGGCTTATCACATTCAGATATGTGAAATAGGCGTACACCTATTTTCTTTTTTCAAAAAATGTGTGGAAATTAATGTGCGGCACCAGCAAATACAAACTGAGGATGGGGAGTAATAACTGGCAGAAAAATAGCTGTGGAGCTTAAGTTGGTTACAAATGTTGGGTGCCTGCCCCTCTCTCTTCCAGTGGCAAGAACCCATTGGGGTCCCAGGTAATCACACTGGATCTGTGCTCCTTTGAAGAACTGAAGACACGGCAGAGACCGTCGTGGCATGAAGAAAAAATGGTTTATTCACCCAATTCAAAGTGCTGGCTTTGACCTATGAAACCTTAAATGGCTCAGGACCGCAATACCTCAAGGACCGCCTGTTTCCATGTGAACCTACCTGGACCCTGAGATCGCCTTCTGAGACCCTCCTTCGTGTGCCTCCTCCTCGAGATGTCTGGAGGGTGGCAACACGAGAACGGGGCATTCTCTGCAGTGGCTCCCCATCTGTAGAATGCTCTCCCCAGGGAAGTTCACCTGGCGCCTTCATTATACACCTTTAGGCGTCAGGCAAAAATGTTCCTTTTTACCAGGCCTTTGGTTGATCTTATTGAAATCAAATCTCCTTTTAGAATGTGGCTCTTTGGGGGGGGGGGGTTAATTGGGTTATTGTTTTTGGTTTGATGTCATATGTTGTGGTCTTGTTTGTGAACCTCCCTGAGACCTCCGGGTATAGGGCGGTGTATAAATTGAATGATTGAATAAAATATTTATTTTATTTGGAAGGAGTCCAGATCTTACACCACAGTCCTTTCAAGAGGTGCTGGTAACCCACAAAGCAGTGCAGGCACCCTTCAGCCAACCTGCCCAACATGGCTCTCAGCTCTTCTTCTTCCTCTCAGCCACCCTTGCTCCCAGAGCAGTTACCCTGGCAACCTCCCAAATCCCCACTCTCTGTTCACACCTCAGGGCCATAGCTGTCAACTTTCCCCTTTTTTAAGGGAAATTCCCTTATTCCGAATAGGATTCCTCACAAGAAAAGGGAAAAGTTGGCAGCTATGCTCAGGGCAAGGGAGAAGGAGTTCTCTCGTATTGTTAATGGATTGTTCTTTTGATCGCTGTGGCTCAGTCATGTTGTTTTGCATAAGCTAGGCCAGGATTTCCTCTGCAGCTTGCATTCTCCTTTCATATCCCAAATAACCCGAATCCTAGCATTTATTAATTTCTAGGATTTAGGGAGTGGTCCCCTCCTTAAATCTATAACAGTATTTTTGCATCGGTTTTCGCTAATTCATTTGCAGCGATGCCAACATCTTTTGCCCACATAATTTTTACCTGATGGGAATGTTATTGCGAGTCCATGTGATCTCTGCCTGAGGATAAGCCTCGACTACACACTCAAAGATGGCCACCTCTTCGACTTGGGCATCCACTGTTTCAAGAGAAGTGGCGATGATGGGCGCTGCAAATAGAAGGAGGAAAAAGAAAGATGGCTTAAGAACACTAGTAATGTTCATGGTAGACTCTTGAGTTCACTTAAAAGAAATATACCTGTCTTTTATGCACAAAGCAAGCCCTCAGGGCAAATTAGAAGACAAAACCAGTTACACCCAACTGAAAGTTATCAAGATGAAGGACAAAGAAGAGACAATCAGGTAATTTGGGATGAGGGAGAAATTCCGTTCAGTTCAGTTTTAAAGGCAATCCTACCCAATGCACACTTTACAAAGCAATGTATGAATTGAAAGACAGCCATCTTTCAAAAACCACACTTGTCTGAAACTGGCACTCCTCCAAATTTTGCAATGCCATTCTCAGTTAATTGCTGATGTGTGCAAAACCTAAAATGGTGGAAATGAGCAAGACCTCATTTAAAAAAATATTAAGTGTAGAAGATGAATCTACTGCGGCAGAAGATACCCCCTAGGCCTAGGCCATTTAGAACTTTAAAGATAAGAACTGGCATCAGCAGTTTGATGCAAACATCTCCTAATAATCCATTTTATGCTGTTTTGACTAATACAGTGGTACCTCGCAAGACGAATGCCTCGCAAGACAAAAAAACTCGCTAGATGAAAGGGTTTTGTTTTTTTTGAGCTGCTTCGCAAGACGAATTTCCCTATGGGCTTGCTTCGCAAGACGGAAACGTCTTGCAAGTTTGTTTCCTTTTTCTTAACACCGTTAATACAGTTGCAACTTGACTTTGAGGAGCAACTCATAGAACGTGGTGTGGTAGCCTTTTTTGAGGTTTTTTAAGACTTTGGTGATTTTTGAAGCTTTTCCAAAACTTTCCCGACACCGTGCTTCGCAAGACGAAAAAAATCACAAGACGACAAAACTCGCGGAACGAATTAATTTCGTCTTGAGAGGCACCACTGTAATATGCACATTTTTTTGCCTAGTGTTTTTCCCTAATGCGATGTACTCTAGTGATATTTCCTTGAATGTGGGCAATTTTATGTAAACCTTCCTGTGTTTACATTATTTGGTCGGAGAACTGCACCAGAAAATTAGGAGAATTTCATACTTGACAGGTAGTTGTATTCCATTTTGCAAGGTTTGAATGAGGTACTTTCTCATTAAAATGCAAAAAAAGTTGACTTTCTCCCCTCCTTTCCCAAATACAGTGGTACCTTGGGTTACATATGCTTCAGGTTACATACGCTTCAGGTTACAGACTCCGCTAACCCAGAAATAGTACCTCGGGTTAAGAACTTTGCTTCAGGATGAGAACAGAAATTGTGCTCCGGCGGCGTGGCGGCAGTGGGAGGCCCCATTAGCTAAAGTGGTGCTTCAGGTTAAGAACAGTTTCAGGTTAAGTACAAACCTCCGGAACGAATTAAGTACTTAACCTGAGGTACCACTGTACAGGGCATACTTCGCTTCTTTTTCTTTGGAGGTGTAGCAGATTTTGTGATACAGCTGACAAATACATATATATATAAAACACACTGTTTAATCCAAGGCCTTGGAGAACTGTAAATACTTTTATATCATGTCACAAAGTTATGATTAATGGAGATCAAAAGGGCGCCTCCTGCGAATTCTTTTTCCTTTTCTTGGCGTACGAAGGCACACAGCAAACAATTCTTTCAATGTATGTTTGCCAAAGACATCCAACCAGTGCTGGGTGAATTAGATATTGCTGACAGATCCGTTTTGCACTTTCTCTACAGCACACAACAGAGAATGCTACAAGCAGCTGGGAGAATCCCCTGACCATCCAAGGATGTTAAAACACCGCCCTCCTTACAGATAAATTACCAAATGGGCATCGTGAGTGAGAGTCAAAACATCTGTCTCTTAGAAAGTCCTAAGCATGGATGAGATCTGGATCAGGGATGGTTGAACCCAACAACTGGATTTCTTCTCAGTTTTATCTGTTCCCTGGCACGCATTCAAATGGGTCTAGATCACTGCCTTGCCATGGCGAAGGGGCTTGAATAACTCAGAGAAGCTATGAACTATGCCGAGCAGGGCACCCACGATAGACAGGTCATAGTGGAGAGTTTTGACCGAACGTGATCCACCTGGAGGAGGAACCGGCAAGGCACTCCAGTATCCCTGCCAAGAAAACTCCATGGACAAAGACAACAGACAACAGCAACAGCAACAACATGCTGGCTTGGGTCACCAGCTTCCACCTGAGATCCCACTAATGAAACCCTCAGTAATGAGATCTCTGTTTAGGGTTTGTTATTAAAGATTGCCACTAAAAAGGTAACGTATGAATATAGCATGCTGTTCGTTGAAGGAAAACTATATGAAAATGATGTACCATTGGTACCTAACACCGAGTAAAATTGCGAAAATGTATAGAATTAGTTCAAATCTGTGTTGGAAATGTAAAGGGAAAGAGGGCACCTTTTACCATATGCGGTGGTCTTGTGGAGTGGTAAAGGTCTTCTGGGAAATGATATACAATGAGTTAAAGAAAATGTTTAAGAAAACTTTTGTTTAATTGGACTCCTTGGCAGGTTTTGAATAAACATACAAAAATTTATTGAGGGTTAACATAGTAGATAGATAATATAAGGATGTATACAATTTTATAATATGCAGAAGTTAAAATTGGTTGAGAAATCAGAAAGAGGAGCTGAGGGGGAGGGAGGGAGGGTTTGTTGGGGAGGTGGGAGGGGGAAATGGGGGGGATAATGAAGATGATTTGTTTGAATAATTTGTTATGTGAAAATTGTCAATAGTTGTTGTTTTTTTAGAAAAAGAAATAAAACTTTTGTTTAAAAAACCCCAGAAGCCTTTTTGTTAGGTATAATAGGTGAAGAGATACCAAAAGAAGACAAGAGACTGTTTATGTATGCAACGACAGCAGCGAGAATGCTTCTAGCCCAGAGATGGAAGGAGAGAGAAGTGCTGACCAGAGAAGAATGGCAGACTAAACTGATGGAGTATGCAGAAATGGAGAGACTGATGGGAAAGATCAGAAACCAGGAATATCAAGTATTTTTAAAAGACTGGAATAATTTTTAATATACTTAAAAGACCACTGTAAACATTTTTGAATGTTTTATGTAGTTTTTATGTAGTTTTATGTAGTTTTTCAATTTCATTGTTCTGCATGGGACAATGACAATAAAGATATTGTATATTGTATATCGTATATCATATATCGTATATCGTAAACAGTTAAAATCATTGGCAGTGATATAATGACACTTGTCATGTGAAATGAACTTTGGAAACTTTGGATATATAACAGATAGATAACGGTAAAAGGTGCAGAAAAAGGAGAAAGAATATATTTTCTTTGGAAATGAAACCCATGGGAGTGTTAGTTTCTGTTTGCCACTGTGCAGTGCTTTGGAGTCACAAGACTCTGTTTTGTATTCCACACACTCCATACTGCTGGAAGTCTCATGGAAAACAGGAGACGGATGTGACGTTACTGGTTTCCCGTTCCTTTGTTTGTTTCGGTTGCTCTCTGCTCTCACAGAGAGAGGATGATTTCTTTTCTGTCTGCGTAGCTAGCAATAAAACTCTTAGCGATGTAGCCATAAATCTCATCACTTCTGCTGCTTTGATTCTCGGCGTAATGGGAACGTGCCTGGAGCCCTCATCAAAGGCTCAGGTCGTTAATTATTGTCGGAGGGGATTCCGAAGGACTCGACCGGAGTAGCATGAGCTTCATCAGCTCGGTTGTAACGAAGATTCCGACGGGGGGAGGGGAGGTCCAAAGGTTTGATATGACCATTTTATTTTACTGTTTTGAAATGGTTAAAGTTAAAATGTATAAAGTTTATGCAAAATCAATAAAAAATTATATGTATATATAAAAGAATAGAGCAAAATATGTGATTGCAAAGGCATAACTTGTAGGTTTGCTTATCAGGTGTGGGGTGGGACCTGCAGCTCCTTGTCATTGCCAGGGATGATGCAAAATGTCCCAGGGACCAGGGGCATCTTACCAATAGAGGCTAATGGCGCGGGGCACCAGGGCACCAAGTTCTGGAGGGCACCAGGGAAGAGGTGAAGGCTGGACGCGGCGCCTCCCGGCATCAGCTTGCCACCCTCGCCCGCCTCCGTCATGCTGCGCCGAAGCAGCGCCGCACCCGGCGCCTCCGTCTGCCGTGGTCACCGTGGCACGAAGCGGCCACATCCAGCCTCCGCCTCTTCCCCGCCAGAGGAGCTGCCCTCCAGCCGCTGCCCGCCTACTCCAGCCCCACCCGCAGCGCTGGTTTTTTTACTGTTTAATGTTTTATTATGTTTTTATATATGTTGAAAGCCTCCCAGAGTGGCTGGGGCAACCCAGTTAGATGGGTGGGGGTGTTGTTGTTGTTGTTACAGTGGTTACAAATACCTCAGGTTACAAACTCTGCTAACCTGGAAGAGTTACCTCGAGTTGAGAACTTTGCCCCAAGGTGAGAACGAAAATCATGTGCTGGTGGCGCAGCAGCAGCAAGAGGCCCCACTAGCAAAAACACGCCTCTAGTTAAGGGAAGTTTCAGGTTAAGAACGGACCTCCGGAATGAATTAAGTTCGTAACTAGAGGTACCACTGTATTATTATTACAGTCAAACTCGAACGCCTCCGTTGCCAAACGTTTCAGTTCCCGAACCCCGAAAAGCCAGAAATAAGTGTTCCCGTTTTCAAACATTCCTCAGAACTTGAACGTCTGATGTGCAGAAGCTCTTGCAACCAATCGGAAGCCGTGCCTTGGAACTCGAACATTTTGGAAGTCGAACAGTCTTCCGGAATGGATTACGTTCAAGTTCCAAGGTCTGACTGTATTATTATTATTATTATTATTATTATTATTATTATTATTATTATATAGGATGTTCCTATTTTCATCGGATAAATGTTGGAGGATATGTGGGATTTTCTCACTGGAGCTCTGTACTGAGCCAAATTTTTGCAAAAAAAGACATTCCTAGGGTTTTCTTGACAGCTTGTTTGCATCTTAAAAGTCTCGTGTGACACATGATGATCCACATAAGCCTGACATCCTTTTGCTTTCTCAAGAAAAATAATAATTCAAGTGTGGGTGTTTCTTTGAGAGATCACGATTCCTTCGTGCAGAGTTAAGGAAAAAATGCCATCCATTTTGGGGGGTTGCATCCAGCTACTAAATCATTTCCACACTCAAAGTGGATTTTCTCCTCTGCTGTACCCATGGAAGTTGTTCCTTATGCACAACGATTTAGCTGGATACAACTCTTTCTTTCTTCGCGCTTAGACAACAAAATCTGCCATGGCACCAGTTTTCGTGGGCCAGGCAGCTAATTAGGAGCTAATGTTTTCAACTTGTGACTCAGCCTGTTCTATTTACAAAAGCTGTTGACAGCATTATGCAGTTGGATTGCGGGCACAATCTTACCGCCAGTATTTTAATTAAGTTCATGCAAACACTTCTTTGAAATATTTGTGTAAATCTTCCTCCCAGCACATTTCCCCCCCTCCCACCACCATGTGAAAAATAATTTATAAGTAGTGTTCATCCTGAACTGATAAAAATTGTTTGCACAACCCGTGGTCTTAGCGGCCAACCTCTGTGTTATGTGCAATTGAGTATCTGCTTCATCCAGTGCTTTGGGGAATTTTTAAATGAAAATAATAGCTTGGCAGGCAGTAACCAAGAGCAGAAAAGTGGCTGCTAACTCTTTCCCTTTCTGCTATAGGTAAAGGTAAAGGGACCCCTGACCATTAGGTCCAGTCGTGACCAACTCTGGGGTTGCGGCGCTCATCTCGCTTTATTGGCGGAAGTAGCCAGCGTACAGCTTCCGGGTCATGTGGCCAGCATGACTAAGCCGCTTCTGGCTAACCAGAGCAGTGCACGGAAATGCCGTTTACCTTCCCGCCGGAGCGGTACCTATTTATCTACTTGCACTTTGACATGATTTCAAACTGCTAGGTTGGCAGGAGCAGGGACCGAACAATGGGAACTCACCCCATCGCGGGGATTCAAACCACCAACCTTCTGATCGGCAAGTCCTAGGCTCTGTGGTTTAACCCACAGCGTCACCCGCACCCCTACAAGGTTGTGGTTAGGCATTGTTTAATTTTTGGTTGGTGGAAGGGGTATGGTTGGCTGTGCCTGCCCCTCCAATGCTGCTGCTGCAATGGTATTCCATAAAAGGAATCCAGGGGCTCACCATGCTTTTGTCCGAACCCCTGGCAAGGGGCTAGGGCCATGCAAGAGCCCCTGGGAGCATTTGGGGAGAGGCGAGAGCCTGGCGCCCAGCTTTATTCTCTCCCCAAAATTGTTTTCCCTTACTGACTTCCGCAGGTGTGCGGTTGTCAGTTCTGTTCCTACCTCCAAGTGGTAACAGATAGTCGCTAACCAATGCCTAAGCAACCACTCACATACTGTAATTCAATAAAGTTGTGGCCAAAATTATGCCAAAAACCAAAACAAAAAGGATGTGTGAACCGTGTTTTTATTCAGAGGTGTCTTGGGAGTCCTCGACATGCAAAAGGTGCTGAACAGACAGAAAGTTAAGGAGCCTCCTTTTCTACGACTTGCCCTCCTTCTTCAATGTCAACCTCTCTCAGAGTTGCCTTTAAAAAAAAGAGAACAATGGGGGAAGGACCACCAAACTTCCAGAAATGTGTCACTTGGGCCCTAAACAGATCTGTAAAATGTCAGCTGAAGTCATCGTTTACAAACTGAAGTCTGAAAATTAAAAACTGAAGTCCGTCAAAGTTTAAACTGGATCATGCACCATAGAGGTATGACACTCTATGCAACTGCATATATTTAAGAGCTATAGCTACACATCTTCAAATGCATAGGTAGATTTAAAACATACCGTATTTTTCCGTGCATAAGACTTTTCCATGCATTTACCAAAAAAAATAGGTTTAAAATTGGGGCTCGTCTTATACATGGGTAGAGCTGAGGGGTGTTTTCTTAATTTGGAGTCCCCCAAAATAGGGGGCATCTTATACATGGAAAAATACGGTATAAAGCAGGAATAGGTCTGACTGAAATTGAATGCTGTTAACTGTTCAGAAGGCTGCAATGAATATTTGGATCTGTGTGCATGAAACATATATAGCCATATGAGAAGATCTGTCTATCGATCTGTATTTCAATGCATCTTTTAAAATGTGTATTCTCTCTGAATGTGATTTCTATATGGGCTTTCGGAATAAATATTTGACGTATTCTGTTTTGTTTTGTTTTTAGCTGAATCATGCAAGGAGTGCCAAAATCAGTGGATAAACAGATGAGGCTACAGTCCCATGCAAACTTAACTAGAGGAAAGCCCTGTTGAACACGCAGAGAATTGCACTGTTAAATTCTGATCCACACCTTGGTCTGGGAGATACAAATCACATCGGTTAGCTTGCACTGAATGGGCAAAGATCAAATTCCTCAAGCATCCCTATATCTTCCTATCTGGCACACTTCTGAAGATTTATCGCATGCAGCCTGATAGTCTTATCTATTTACTTACAAGTCGCACAGAGTTCAGTGGGACTTAGTCTCAAAGGATTGCTAGCTGGAGCATATTCCAGCACAGGAAAAGGGTTTCTGTCTTATCACTTGTGTTTAACACGATATGGAGGATAAGCAGCCTTCCCACGCAAATAGCCCAGAGAAATTCCTTCCTCCATCACAGCGCCACTGATACGGCAGTTTTGTAAACACAAAAGAGACACCGGTTCTCCTTCGAAGACAATCTCAGGTACAGTGCTGGGAGAAAGGAGTTGCCCTCGTGAAAATTTCTGCGGCTTGTATATCGATCACAGGCTTTGGAGCAAGTATAAAACTGGAGGCAAAGTAAACAGAAGATGGACATTTGCTTACACCAACCTTTAGGAGATTTCTCAGCCAAGCTGAAGGCCGCAAGAGTGAAGAAATGGACCAGTGGAATGTTGAGAGCGTCTTTCATGATTAATCCAGGAGGGAGAAAGGGATACGTCTCCTTCAGCCAAAGGCAGGCATATTCCTTCGTGGCGGCTTCCCGTTGAAGCACGGCTTCCTGCAACGTCCCTCTCAGCCACTGTCCCTGCTGTGGGTACTAAGTATAATCAGGAATCCTCGCACTTGCTTGCAGTGATGGACAGGACCAGCTGCTGTGCTTCCACTTAGGTCAGTATCAAAACGTGGGGGCTCATGAAACAAGAGAACACAAATCCCTTTAGAATTCCTTCTAAGCAAACATTCGGCAGCAGACAATGCCCTTGATGCCTTTCTAATATAATAGCTGGAGCCAGGGTGACAGAAAATGCCCGGCCTCTGCTGTGGCCAAGAGCCAACAAACTCAGTGTTCTTCTTTCACGTTTCATTTGTATTTATTAAATTTGTATACCGCCTTTCACGGTGCTGTTTTTTCTAGAAAAAGAGGTGCCGGAACGCGCCCTTGTTCTCTTAGAAGGGCAATGGCACCCACCTGAGAGGTGCCAGAACTGAATTCCGGTAAGTTCTGGCTGAACAAAAAGGAAAAAGTCCCGGCCTTTCATCCAGGGCAGTTCGCAACATGAAAATGCAACATGAGAACATGAAATACATAATGAAACCAAAACAAACCAAAACAGATTCATAAAAGGTAAAGGGACCCCTGACCATTAGGTCCAGTTGTGGCCGACTCTGGGGTTGCAGCGCTCATCTCGCTTTATTGGCCGAGGGAGCCGGAGTACAGCTTCCGGGCCATGTGGCCAGCATAACTAAGCCGCTTCTGGCAAACCAGAGCAGCGCACGGAAACGCCGTTTACCTTCCTATTTATCAACCTGCACTTTGAGGTGCTTTCGAACTGCTAGGTTGGCAGGAGCAGGGACCGAGCAACGAGAGCTCGCCCCATCCAGGGATTCGAACCGCCGACCTTCTGATCGGCAAGCCCTAGGCTCTGTGGTTTAACCCACAGCGCCACCCATGTAGGTTTAAAAGGCTGTTAATCAGTCAAAGGCCTGGTTATAGAGAAACATTTTTGCCTGGTGCCTAAAAATATGGCACCAGGCAGGCTTCCTTGGGGAGAGCATTCCACAAATGGGGAGCCACTACAGAAAAGGCCCTCTCTCACAGTGCTGCCCTACTGCCCTTACGCAGAGACAGAATAGAATGCACACTCTCCAACATTACTCTGATTAAAATAAAGAAGTCCCATTCCATAATGATAATTTTACTATTCATACCCCACACGTCTAACTCTGGGCAGCTTCCAACATGTATAGAAACATAATAAAACATGAAACTTTTTTAAAAAAAAACCTTCCTTCCCTATACAGGATTGTCTTCAGAGGGCTTGGGGGTTGCATAACTCCATACCCTCCAATATTTCTCCAATGAAAATAGGGACAACCTAATGAAAAGTGGGACATTCCGGGATCAAATAAGAAACTTGAATGGCTTCTCTAAATCAGGGACATCCCTGGAAAATAGGGACACTTGACAGGTCTAAGAGTGGTATTCTGACCAAGGCAGAATAGAGTGGTATTAGTGGTACTATTACTTCCCTTGATCTGGAAACTAAACTTCTATTGAAGCATTGGCCTTTTTTTGCTGCTGCATCACACTGTTGACTTTTGCTAAGCTTGTGTTCCATCAAGACCCCTAGAACCTTTTCACATGTACTGCTAGTAAGCCAAATGTCCCCCATCTCATATTTGTGCAGCTGGTTCTTCCTGTCTAAGTGCAAAAGCTTACATTTTTCCCTGTTGAAATTCATTTTCTTAGCTTGGGCCCACTTTCCCATCTGTTAAGATCATTTTGAATTCTGATTCTGTCCTCTGCAGCATTAGCTACCCCTCCCAGTTTGGCAGAACCCTGTGGCACCCCAATTGTCACTTTTTCCAGGATGATGAGGAACCATTAATAAGTACTCCTTGGGTTCAGCCAGTCAAGCAGCTACAAATCTGCCTAACAGTTATCTCATTCAACCCACATTTTACCAGCTTCCTCACAAAAATATCGTGGGGGACTTTATCAAGAGCCTTCCTGAAATCAAGATACACTATGTCCGCACCATTCCCCTGATCCACCAAGCTTGTAACTCCATCCCCCCACCCCAAAAAGAAAAATGAGTCATGCAACTAGAAGATCGATAGCTGTAAAGAAATTGCTGGTCAGAAACTGATGCCCAGGGAGAAAGAGCATATTTTGTTTTCATGCCAGCAACAGTCATACAAATTGAGATAACTCAGGTCTGCTATACAGTGGTACCTCAGTTCTCAAATGAAATCCATTCCAGAAGCCCGTTCAGTTTCCAAAATGTTCCAAAATGTTCGAAAACGTGTAAGCAGCCATTTTCAGACAGCTGGTACCAAACCTTTCTTATTTTTGCAATCAAGAAAATGCTTTTTTAAAAAAATGCATTTTTTATCAGACAAAATGCCCAAACAATCAAAATTATTCTGAAACTATATAGAAAGGGCTGGGGAAGGGGGGGACACACAAATTAAAATATGTGAAAAATAAGGAGGATACGAACAGGAATTCTGATGGGGTGAATGAATGAGGCAACTTAAGGAGATTTTGGGGAGCACGTCAAATGGCGCAAGAGCCACACGTTGCCCACCTGTGCCTTAGAGCAGAGGTAGCCAAGGTGACTGTTAGACTACAAATCCCATCAGCCCCAGGCAGCACAGCCAAGGATGATGGGAGTTGTTGTTCAACAACATCTGCAGGGTGCCACATTGACTGTCTCTGCTTTAAGGGTTTGTGCGAGTTGCCGAACAGGAATCTTAATGAAACATCCAGAAGCACTTTGATGTGAAGCTGGCTATAAAGGCAGGATGGGTTGCCTGCGACTGAAACTGGCGGGCCTGGCAGGACCAGATCTTGCTTGCTTTCGAGTGTGCTGCAGTCACTCCAAAATTTATATATTTTGCAAAGGGGAGTTTGATTACCAGATTGAAGGGTGTGTTGTGCTGGGCTGTGTTCCCAGCCTTTGATGGACCTTATTCTTTCTGGATGCTAATAAATCATCATTGCCTGGGATGGTGAGCATTGCTGAAGCAAATACAAATACTTAGAAAGGACAAGCTGTTTTGCTCTGAGAAAACAGATAACAACAGACTGTCACGTCCCACTGAAATCTGTTCCAAAGGGGGGGGGGAATAAGCTTCCTCACTGTATCTAACCCTGCCCTTACTCTGGGGACCAGCAGCGCCTAGGCAGAATCTGCCCAAATGTTTAGAGGATAATAGAATTGGGAGTACTGTATTTTTCTGTGTATAAAACAACACCTTTTTTTGGACCCAAAATTAAGAAACCAATATTTCTTCTGTTGTTGAGCTTTTGGGGGGGGGGGAGAGCAGGGAGATTGCACAACAGAAATATGTTCTTTCAAAGGGGAAACTGTCCACAGACCTGTCACAATTAGGAAAGCAAGGAACACAATGTGACCAGGATATTGTCAATTCTGCCAAATTAACTCGTATTTTAAAAGGAAAAGAGCCCCAAATGGCTGTCGGATCATGTTTAGTGGTACTTTGGTTGTTGAATGGCTTGGCTCCCGAGCAAATCGGCTCCTGAACACTGCAAACCTGGAAGTGAGTGTTCCAGTCTGCGAACGTTTTCCGGAAGCTGAACGTTCAACGCGGCTTCCGATTGCAGCCAATCAGAAGCCGCACCTTGGTTTTTGAACCATTCTAGGAGTCGAACAGACGCCCAGAACGGATTAAGTTTGACAACCAAGGTACCACTGTACACTTCCACCAGACTGCTGCAAAGTCCTCTGAGTGGATTGAAGATTCCCTTTGAAAAACAGCTACCAGTTTGATCTATCAATCCAAGATAGATTATTTCTTCTTTTTTAAAAAATAATTTTGTAATTGGTTTTAGACAGTTGTATACATTTAACTTTGACCATTTCAAACATTAAAGTAAAAGGTTCTTTTGAACCTTCGGAACTCCTTCCCTCCATGGATTTCATATTTAAGATTAAATTTTCTCCATCTTTTACCATAATCCATCTGTTATATTTCCATAGCTACCATAGTTAATTCCACATTACAGGTGTCATTACATTAATAATAATAATAATAATAATAATAATAATAATAATAATAAATTATTTATACCCCGCCCATCTGGCTGAGTTTCCCCAGCCACTCTGGGCGGCTCCCAATCAAGTATTAAAAACAATACAACGTTAAATATTAAAAACTTCCCTGAACAGGGCTGCCTTCAGATGTCTAAATAAATAAATAAATAAATAAATAAATAAATAAATAAATAAATAAATAACAAGATAGATTATTTCTAAGAGTTACTAATAAAAAACAACTAAATAAAAGGAAGGAAGGAAGGAAGGAAGGAAGGAAGGAGATTGGCTTCCAATCCATTGGCTTCCAATCCACCATTTGTGATCGTCTCCCATCTTCTCTGACCACAAAGCCATTTATTTCTCCCATCAACAAAAGAACTTTCTTTGTCTGCCTCTGTTTTTCCAGCAGGAGTTACTTTTCTCATCAGGCCATTGCCACAGAAGCATTTTAAGAAAGCTGTTGGCAGCGAGGCTGGCTTATGTTATGCGGACACCTGCCTGGGAGCGAGTACAATGAGATCAGCCACTAACAAAGGCCATGAGCCAGCTGCTAGGCTTTGAGTAGCTAAGGAGACCTCTGCCAAGTCCAAAGAGCAATCTCAAAGTGACACAAGTGTTAGGTCTTTTTATAGCCAGCCTGAGCTTTCCTGAATCGCTCTTCGCTGTAATGAAAGTGAAACAGAATACTTCGATTTCTCTGAACATACAAAGCTGACGCAGACCTTGGGTCCATTTCAGCCAGCATTGCTCTTTGCTGATGGGAGACAACACCTCTCTAGAATTGGGGGCAGAGGTCTTTCCCATCACCTGCTACCTGAACCTCTCAACTGCATATGCCACAGGTTAAACCTGAGACCTTCTGCGTGCAAATCAGGGGTTCTTGAGCTCTTCTTGCCCCGCATCAATAGGAGTATAGCATCTAGATCAAGGGAAGTAATAGTGCCACTGTATTCTGCTCTGGTCAGACCTCACCTGGAGTACTGTGTCCAGTTCTGGGCACCACTGTTCAAGAAGGACACTGACAAACTGGAACGTGTCCAGAGGAGGGCAACCAAAATGGTCAAAGGCCTGGAAACGATGCCTTATGAGGAACGGCTAAGGGAGCTGGGCATGTTTAGCCTGG